TTTTTTTTTTAAATGTAAACAAAGATAAGACCCTTCAACATGTCTAAAAACTGATGGAAAAGAGAGAAAACAAGGCTAACTGATGGAATGAGAGGTCAATGAATAAGAGGTCTGGGGGAATGGTACCAAAGTATAGGTAAAAGATTAGTTTGATTTTATTTGTTCAATAATCTTAAGAGTGGCCTATAAAATAAAGTAGGAGAGAGACACCTGGTGATAAGGGGCAGAATTACAAGGCTCTGATAAAATGAGATACTGATACAGCCACTGTCTGCGTCACTGATGATATTATGTTTCCAGGACTAAGCACTCAGTAAGAAATGCCCACAGCAGCTTCAAAATGTTCGAGCATCCTTCCCGCTTCATGAATCTGAAACTCACTCACTCAATTTCATCACTGTCCTCAGGGTCCTTGTCATGAGACTTCATTAGTAAAATAATCTTACAATAACGTTCTTTTAATACTCGAACATATTAAACTCCTAAGATAGGATTCAAAATAGAGTTTTTATTTGGATTGCATAGCATAATAAAGTGCCAATTTAGAAACCTGGTTTTATAACAACAGGCATTTTTCTAAAACCTAAAAGAAAAACTGGTAAGGCTCCAAAGTGGTTGAGAAGTATCCATCTGAACCAAAAATATGGAGTTAAAATATTTCTAGGAAAAAAAATTACTATGAATAGATAAGAATGGAATCTATCACGTTAACAAAGCCAATTTTACAGAGAAAATAGGAAATTTTACATGATAAAATATAGGGGAGAAGAGAGATATTCTAAGAGTCATCGTTCCTCTTTTCTACTTAAAAATTTCTTTCATGTTGAAATATATCACACAAGAGAGTATATGAAACAGAGAGATGGCATAGCCTATGGGTTAAGAACATTCTGGAATGAGAAACTCAGCTCTACCATGGGCAAAGGATTTAATCTTCCTGGGCCTCAGATTCCCCACCTGGGGATAACAGCACCCACCTCACATTAAATGAGTTAATACGTGTAAAGTACTGGGAACCATATTTGGCACATACTAAGCATTATATAAATTATGTACTACTGCTGTTATTATCACAAAAAATGTAAAAGCACAGTTTAAAGAATAAAACACACACACATATCCACTATTTAGCAACTCAGAAGCTCTCAGGGTAACCAAATGCAATCCTAGCCCCTCCCTCCCTCCCTCCAGAAATAACCATCCTGAATTTTGTGTTGATCATTTCCTTACTCTTTCTTCAAAGACAATCAGGACATTTAAGTAATATATGAAATATTTTGTAAAATGATGAACAATCTGAAGATAAATGTTTCTAAAGCTTAAATTCATTAAAGTAAAAGAGTCTCTATTAGAAACCCACAAATTTACCTGAAAGACTTTTTTGCTTGTATTATTATCGTTCTCCCATCCACACTCCTCAAGTTTGGTCAAATTGTTGAATTTTTGGTGTATATCCTGTATCTGTTAATAAATAAAGCACAAGTTTATCAGATTAATGCTAATCATATTAAATATACAAACTAATGAACTGAAGCTTCAAAAACAATTGACAGTGACTTGGACTGGTGAGATAAAATTAGACTAAGTCATTCTCAATTTAGTATTCAAATCAAGAATTCTTATGGTTCATTCATTGTTATTTCTGGTCTTATAAACCTCAAAAATCCACATAAGGGATGTCATATATGAATAACTCCCCTAAATTATTTTTGATCACTAACATGGTAGGAGAGATATCCTAAATTATACAATGTAAACACAATCTCTTTTTTTTATTTTTTACAGTTTATTTATTCATTCTCCTACTGAGGAACATATTCGTTGCTTCCAAGTCCTGGGAATTATGAATAAAGCTGCTATAAACATCTGTGTATACATTTTTGTGTGGACATATGTTTTCTTTTTTTTTTTCTTTTGTGAGGAAGATCGGCCCTGAGCTAACATCCATGCTAATCCTCCTCTTTTTGCTGAGGAAGACTGGCTCTGAGCTAACATCTATTGCCAATCCTCCTCCTCTTTTTTCCCCCAAAGCCCCAGTAGATAGTTGTATGTCATAGCTGCACATCCTTCTAGTTGCTGTATTTGGGATGTGGCCTCAGCATGGCCAGAGAAGCAGTGCGTCAGTGCGCGCCCAGATCCAAACCCCGGGCCGCCAGCAGCGGAGTGCGCACACTTAACCGCTAAGCCACGAGGCCGGCCCTGGACATATGTTTTCAACTCATTTGGGTAAATAGCAAGGAACATGGTTGCTGGATCCTATGGTAAGAGTATGTTGAGTTTTGTAAGAAACTGCCAAACTGTCTTCCAGAGTGGCTGCACCATTCTGCATTCCCATCAGCAACCAATGAGAGTTCCTGTTGCTCCACATCCTCACCAGCAT